GGTACTGGAAACTTCCACTACCAAGCCCAGACAGTCCAGCAGCAGCAACCTCTCCCATATAGGGAGGAGGCTGGCCAGTGTCTGGCATTCTGGCCTAGGCAGGCAATGAGGACACGCTGCTGCGTTAGCGCGCAAGTGTCTGCATGCGCTACTGCTGGCTGGGGCGCACGTGGGCGCTGCAGGGCAGTGGGGCGCTAGCGGCCATAGCCGGTCTGCAGGGCGCGAGGGCAGGTGAAGGGCAACGGTGGTCTTCAGGAGGAGGCGCAGGTGTGGGTGGACAGGGGATGATGAGGGGAGTCGAGAGTACGTACCTGGTGTATGTGGGGGGTCGGCATTGGTGTTGACGTCATGTACATTGGTCTTCAAAGTCGAAGTGAGCCTATTGCATGAATGTAGATGGGCTAGGTAGGACGAGTAGAGTAGGTTGGGTGCTGGGCGCCAGACAAGAGGAGCGACATTGAATACTGCGTTGGTGTGGCCTGAGGGCTTGAACATTGCCTCACGAGTTCATTGTATTGCTCTTATTTGGATGGAATCTTGGTGCATTTGAGCTCTCTGCTTGTTACATGACTATCTGGTCTTCTGCGTGATTTTGCAACTTGGATTTCTGTATAATGCTCTCGCTCATATTCCTTGGACATGTGAAACACACATCTACAAATTTTCAGGGCATTTGGCTAACCCAAGAAAAAATGGAAAATCGCCAAAGATGGTGGTGTCAAAAACGTGCTCGTCCACTCACTACTTTTGATTCCCTTTTCATTTTTTCAGATTATTCTTATTATTCTTATTATTATTATTTTTTCGTATTTTTTTACTATTTTATTTTTATTTCAATTTCAGTAAAGAATTTGGATATCATGCTCAGGCAAATGTTGTTCAGTTTATTTTTCTGCATAACATTTATATTTTTTCCTAGGCTACCAGAGTGGCCCGGGTCCACTTGCCTGGCCGGGCCAAAAACATATTAAAAATAATTATTATTTTTAAATTTAAAATTTTGTTTTAAATTTGGTAAAGAATTTCGATGTGACCCTGAGGCAAAAGTTGTTCAGTTTATTTTTCTGCATAACATCTGGGTTAGGCCGGCCCGGTCCAGACGGACCAGGCCAGACGGACGGGGGGGGGTCCGAGCCAAAAAACGTCCCAGGATTTTTTTTTTTTTTTTTGAAAATGGGTTTGAAGTGCGCTCGCTGAGAGGAGCCCGAATCCGCGGAGAAACTTGTGCAAGGCATCTGTGTTGTGGGTGGGGGTGGGGGGAGGGGGGGGGTAGTGGATATGCTTGCAAATTTTCCTTTTCCTTTGTCTGCTGCTGTTTTGCCTCTCCTCCTTCCAGACCTGCCACTCCCCCCGCCGACGCCGC